GAGATGGTGGAAAGGCGGCTTTAATGGATAAGTTCATTTCTGACCCTGACTGGAGCTGCTGTTTGTTCTGGTGCTGTCAAGAAAATGTGAGTCTCGTTGTTACTGCATTGATGTGGTTTCAGACTCACTGTGATCTCCAGCAGGAGCTCTGGTGTGTTCTGGTGTCTCATCAGCAGGCTCACACAGGACTCCTGTAGATGCTGCTCTGTCTCATCATCTCTGGCTCTCTTCATAGGTCTGCGCGCTAAACAAATAACGTTACATCAGTCTCTAAACTAGTGAGAAATGCGGCTGATGGTAATACTACATGTGTGTCAATGTCTTACCGAGCAGAGCTGTGACGGTGGCGGAGCGCGATGAATGTTCTCCGTCTGATGTCGCGCTCAACATGCTGCGATAGTTTCATTCGATCCCGTGTGTGATTAAACTACACAGACAAAACACAGCAGTAACGTTACACACATGCACTTCGTCTGCTGCAATTTCCGCAAACCCGCGCGCTGCACATCGGAGTTCTCACTGGTTGAGAGGAAACTAGAAGCAACCCATCGCCAGCAACAGTCTTTTACTGCGAGCGTTTTCATTGGTTCGGAGTGAACGGGCAGCAGCCAATCGTCATGGGCGCCTCTGCTGTCAGCCAATCAAAGAGTGAGCATCAAACCAATCACAGAAATGCTACAGTGAAGACCCCCCCCCAAACATGCTCCCTCTCCATGCAAGCATAGATCATCACATATTATTTACAATAATCATCCACATTTTTGTGTTTTATCAGTATTGATATTTGTATAATTTAGTTTCTTGTCTAAATCAGGCAATACGGAAGTGCATAATACATTGAACGAGATTATTAACATGATAAAAATGTTCAGTTCAAACCCAGTTCTTATGCATATATTTGTTAGTGTTACCCTAGTGACGTGTTATGTTCATACTGCAATATACCTTTGTTTATCTAAGATAATATTCTTATTAACATAAACAACTAAAACAAACTGAGTTTTCTGTTCCTATGAAGTTTCACACGGATGGAACAGTTTTCCTGTTAATCATTAAAATAACTCCTATTAAGCAGTCAGAGGAGCACTGGCAGACTAATGTTGAATATGTGGATATGAAAACTTGAGAGCATTTCAAAGGTTTGCGATATATTACAACAAATGCATCCATTAGGAACAAAAAACATTATAATTTTTTTGCTGATGCACTGATGGAGAAATACAATCAATACAATAAACAAAGCACCATCACAGATCACTCAGCTCCCTGCCTGTAAACGAGCGTGAGTCTCGTTGTTACTGCATTGATGTGGTTTCAGACTCACTGTGATCTCCAGCAGGAGCTCTGGTGTGTTCTGGTGTCTCATCAGCAGGCTCACACAGGACTCCTGTAGATGCTGCTCTGTCTCATCATCTCTGGCTCTCTTCATAGGTCTGCGCGCTAAACAAATAACGTTACATCAGTCTCTAAACTAGTGAGAAATGCGGCTGATGGTAATACTACATGTGTGTCAATGTCTTACCGAGCAGAGCTGTGACGGTGGCGGAGCGCGATGAATGTTCTCCGTCTGATGTCGCGCTCAACATGCTGCGATAGTTTCATTCGATCCCGTGTGTGATTAAACTACACAGACAAAACACAGCAGTAACGTTACACACATGCACTTCGTCTGCTGCAATTTCCGCAAACCCGCGCGCTGCACATCGGAGTTCTCACTGGTTGAGAGGAAACTAGAAGCAACCCATCGCCAGCAACAGTCTTTTACTGCGAGCGTTTTCATTGGTTCGGAGTGAACGGGCAGCAGCCAATCGTCATGGGCGCCTCTGCTGTCAGCCAATCAAAGAGTGAGCATCAAACCAATCACAGAAATGCTACAGTGAAGACCCCCCCCCAAACATGCTCCCTCTCCATGCAAGCATAGATCATCACATATTATTTACAATAATCATCCACATTTTTGTGTTTTATCAGTATTGATATTTGTATAATTTAGTTTCTTGTCTAAATCAGGCAATACGGAAGTGCATAATACATTGAACGACATTATTAACATGATAAAAATGTTCAGTTCAAACCCAGTTCTTATGCATATATTTGTTAGTGTTACCCTAGTGACGTGTTATGTTCATACTGCAATATACCTTTGTTTATCTAAGATAATATTCTTATTAACATAAACAACTAAAACAAACTGAGTTTTCTGTTCCTATGAAGTTTCACACGGATGGAACAGTTTTCCTGTTAATCATTAAAATAACTCCTATTAAGCAGTCAGAGGAGCACTGGCAGACTAATGTTGAATATGTGGATATGAAAACTTGAGAGCATTTCAAAGGTTTGCGATATATTACAACAAATGCATCCATTAGGAACAAAAAACATTATAATTTTTTTGCTGATGCACTGATGGAGAAATACAATCAATACAATAAACAAAGCACCATCACAGATCACTCAGCTCCCTGCCTGTAAACGAGCAGAAGAAAGAGCAAAGACCACTAGAGTAAAGATCAAGCTCATGCAGAGCTTAAAGGGATAGTTCACCCGAAAATCTATACTCTGTCTTTATATCATTTCAAACCTGTATGATTTTCTTTCTTCTGTGGAACACGTTATTTAAAGAATGTCGTTTTTACCTAAAGTCAATGGGATCCAGCTTCAAGCTGCAACAAGGACATACGTATAAAGGTAACCAAAGTAAAGTAATCCAAACTCCAGTGGTACAGTTTTTACCCAACCCATGTGTCCTTTTGGAGCTTGAACCTTGGATCCCATTGGCTTTCACTGAAAAACAGCGGAGACATTCTTCAAACATTGTCTTTTGTGTTCCACAGACGAAATGAAATCATGAGTTTAGAATGAGACAAAGATGAGTAAATGATGACAGTGAACTATTCCTTCAATAGATGTTAGTCATGATGGTGAACATGAGATAGGACATGCTCTTTAGCCACAGCCATATTTAATACCCGAGAAAACAGGACTGACCGTGTTACACTGCAACAAAATGAGGGCTGGATGAAAGTTTAAGTGGGTCAGTTGTCTCAAACACAAAGCCAATACTGTCTGCACACACTCCAACACGTCGATCCATGATATTCACAATCACGTGGATGTGACGCTGTCAATGTGGTTGCAAACCATCTGTTCAGTAAGTATATTATAGTGTAATTCAAAATGAACACCAGTTCAGTGCATGACACAACAACACAAGCACATCTGCTTAACCTCGGAGAAAAAGCCAATGCAGAACCGGGTCTGTGACAAATGAACGTCAACAAACCAACATCAATATCTGCCTCTTTTTCAGTTGCTGAAAAAACTGAAGCTTAAACAAACCTTTTCAGATCAGGGGCCAGATTCATGAAGCTTTTTATGAAAAAGTAAGAAGTTACATTTCTTAAGATGAATTAAGATGTAAGTGCAATTCTTGAAAAAATTCTTAAGTAGTTCTCAAATGTTTTGTTAAGAACCTTTTATTCCGTAAGAAGAGAAGCTTTGGTGTTACTGTTTGTGATCCTCGCTGTCTCGCCTTTATAAAGTAATAATAATCATAAGAAGACAAGATTTATGGCAGGCTGGAGGTTATTCACAGTGAGTTTAAAGAACATTTTTGCTAGGAATTCAAATCCCTCTAAAGTTTTATCTTTAGAACAAAAAAATATTGTAAGAAAAAGATAAGTGCATTCTTAAGAAATGCAAAATATTGGTAACACTTTACTTAAAGCCTTTATGTATAATGCATTATAAAAGTAGTTTTAATGCATGAATTATGCCTTGTAATACACCTTATAATGCATTGTACAATCTCATGAATAACTGTAACCACAGTTAATACAGTATAACACTTATCATTGTTACACTATGCATTTCAAATTCGGTTAAAATTATTTACGACAAGATATAATGCATTACAAATGCACATTACATTATGCATTGTACCCTTTAATAACCATTTATAATTCATTATACATAAAGGCTTTAAGAAAAGCATGACCAAAATATTCCTAACTTTACTCTTAAGTTAAAAAAGAAGAAGAAAATAGCAGTTAAGAAGAATTTCTGAGAAATGTTTTGTGAATCCGGCCCCAGTTCTCTTCAGATGAGCTTTGCACTACAGATAAGCATGTGCTGCCCAGAGAACTCAGGATAAGGGTTAACAGCTCACCGTCACGCTGTCTGGATGTTGATACAAATCACATATTTTGGACAGACAGCATGATCTGATGAATTTGAAAAAGGGCAACTTTGATTTGAACTTGCATGTGGGATTGACGAGGAGAATGGTTGAGCTCTGCAGGCATGAATAAATATAAGTCATGGTGAAATACTGAAAGACACTTCTTTTGTCTTGTCAAAAAGCATTTAATCACATGTCACCATTGTTTCAGCACATGGTTCAATCACAGCAACATCATCATCACACGTCATCTCGAAACAAGATACAAACAAAGCATCAGAATTACAAAAGAACATATCGCAAAATTACTTAGAAAAATATCTCATATCTTCCGTAAACACTGTCATTTTAATACGCATAAGACTGTGTTAATTAAAATCTGATTTAAAAAAGAGGCTGAAATAAAAATGGCCACAATGAGCGAAGGCCTTTGGTAGTAAGACAGAAACACTTCAGCGGCCCGCGGACTGATCGAGCGTCACGGCCGCTCTGGCAGTAGTGCTTGGCTTTAGCTGGCGGTTCCTGAGGCGGGCGGCAGGCACAGGCGTCGCTGGGCGATGTGAACCAGCACCAGCAGAAGCATCTCCGACGTGCTGCTGAGGGCCACTATGAAGGGCGCCTGGGACGCGTAGTCGGCCTTGGCCCGCTGGAACGACAGCTGCATGACAGCCAGCGCCAGGAGACTGTTCTGCACGCCCACCTCGATACTGACGGTCTTCCTCTGAGCCAGCGGCAGCCCCGCCAGCCGCGCCAAGCCACAGCCCACCAGCAGCCCACAGACGGGCACGGTCACGCCCGCCGCCACGATCGGAGGCTGCACGTTGGCCAGGATGGAGGAGCCCATCTGATAGGCCATGAAGATCCCCCCGACGATGAGCACGAAGCTGAAGGGGCGGATGAGGGCGAGCAGGACGCGGGTGACGGAGGGCAGGCGGAGCTTCACCAGCATGCCCAGCGAGATGGGAATGGCGATGAAGAGCAGCGTGCCCAGGATCTTGACGAAGGGCACGTGGAGTGCGGCGTTGACCCCCAGCAGCCAGCCGTACAGCGCCGAGGACAGCGGCATGGCTGCGGCCGCCACCACGGTGGAGATGAGGGTCATGCTGATGGCCAGGGTGACGTCTCCACCCAGCAGCAGGCTGTAGAGATACCCCCCGCCTCCACCCGGCGCCGAGCAGGTGATGACCAGCCCCAGCGCCAGCGCCTTGGGAAGGGACGCCAGGCGGGACAGCCCGTACGCGTAGAGCGGCATTATGAGGAACTGTCCCGCCACACCCAGCAGCAGCGGCACCGGCCTCTTCAGCAGACCCAGCAGAACCTCCACCTCCACCTTACAGCCAAACGCGCACTTGTTGATGAAGATGAGCGGCAGCAGCGCGAACAGGACGGGGTTCTCGGAGAAGTGCGACAGCGCGCTGGGCTCGAGGAGCCGGGCCGCGGGGTCATCGCCGCCTGCCGCCACCCTGATGGAGTAATCGCTCCGCTCCTCGATCAGAACCGGCTCCGAGTCCCTGTACAAGTCCAGCAGCTGGATGAGCAGCGGAGCCGTTCCCGGTACCCCAGACTGGATGCTGATGACGTAACTGCTCGCGGCTCCCGAACGTCCGCTGTCGCTCACGTTGAGGATGGAGATCACGTCCGGGTCCAGAGAGCTCACCCGAACCGTCTGTTTGAGGCTCTCGCGACCCTTCCGGCCTCCGGAGCCGCGGTACCTGCTGGAGATGACGATCACTCCCCGCGTGCTCTGGGGAAACTCGAACTCCTGCGAGGAGCCGTCGCCGATGTACAGGTACTGGACGGGCTTCTGGCTCTGGTTCTGGTTCTGGTCGGGCTTTTCGGGATCTTCTGCTTGAGCGATTAACAGCAGGCAGCTCAACACGAGCACTGTCTTCATGTCTCCACCCGCCGCACCGCTGAGAGCTGCCAGTGCAATCACCGATTCATTAGAGGTGGGAATATTTCTCCTCGTTCTGGCTCAAACACAGCTGCGGTCCGCTAATAACATCTTTAAATCTGCTCATGATCGTAAAGATCAGACTCACAATCATCTCATGGCGGCTTAGACAGGGATTCACTCAGCACCGCCCAGAAACATCGAGCACGAACAGTTCAGAGACGGTATTTCCGTGTGTTTCTCGTCATGTTTGCTCTTGTTCCGTCATCAGCGCTCGTGATTCCGGTCTGAGCAGCTCGTGCGGTTACTCTGGGCGACTCCCTGCAGAAACAGCGAGGGGCTAGAAGGGATACGGCGAAAACTACTGGGCATGCGCACATCAATAGAGCCTACATTTTCTCTCACTGTACAACAGTAATGACTATTTTTGTATTATTGTAATGGGTAGGTTTCGGGTTGGGGTAGGTGCAGACGTTAATAAAACACAATCTAATTGGTAGAAAATTAAATTTATTGTTAGCGTCCGGTTTTTGCTGTGTCCCTTCTAGCCACAACCGGAGAAACACCAGAGCGGAAACCAGCTCTGAAAGTGTTCATTTTCATAATTCAACTCTTCACTGCGTAATTCCAATACAGCGTCTTTTAAAGTATGTTTCCATCATTATTCAAGTGTAAATTATTATCCAAACAGTGGCTGAAACGCCACAGACTCGGCGTTGGTCACGTGGGACCCGTTACTTTATTAAACGCGCGCAAGGATGGACCAATCACAGCGGCTTGTGGTCACAGGGCGAGGCGTTTTAAGTGATCGTTTCAGAAAGACTGCCGCAGCGGATTTGCGATTGTGTATCAGTTACCGATTCTGGAAAACGAACCATTTAAACAATTATAATTTCAGTGTAGAAATGTCTCCAGTGAAGCATAAATGTCCTCTGATATTTGAAAAAGATTGAATTAAGGAAAGGGCTTTCTGAGCAGCATTGCGCCCCTGCAGGAATAACCATGTGTTTGATGGAAACCGGTGTTATAGAGAGAAACGCCCAGTGAAACTCTTCAGAAAACACCTTATACAGTCTGTGGAAAACACACGGAAGCACTCTGGCTCGTCGCCCAGACTATGGAAGCCGATTGTGGACTAACCTCACAGACAATCGCGCTTTTTTTCCTTCTCTACTGTAATGTTTCCTTTTGACTTGTCAATAAAAATGCGTTGAGATTCTTCAGAATCAGATTACAGAAACCATTGCATGCATTGTTTGCTGCCCTGATAACTCACCTGACATTCAGCGACTGATATTTTTATCTTCATATATGATTGAGCTGATTTAACACTGTTTGTAAATCTCTGTTCCACGACACTCGAATTGTCTTAAATTACTTACTGTACAACACTGAACATTGATAATAATCAGAAATGTTCCTCGAGCAGCAAATCAGCATATTATACTGATTTCTGAAGATCATGTGACACTGAAGACTGCAGTAATGATGCTGGAAATACAGCTGTGCATCACAGAAATACATTAGTTTACAACATTTTACTGTATTTCTGTTTAAATAAATAAAGCCTTTGGTGAGCAGAAGAAACTTGTTTCAAAAACATTTTTAAAAAAGTGTGCAATTTTATTCAGTGAAAAGAACAAAAAGAAACATCCAGACAAGAAAGATCAGAACATTTATTATGTGCTTGCATTCGATAAACATAGAGTAATGGTAATAAAGCATGTATGTGTAGTGGAACATTTCTAACATCTAGTTATTCATGGCATGAATAACTGGAAGAGGCATTCTACATTCTCAATCATCTAGCATCACTTCATGTCTTCCCATGCTGTAAATCAGCATTACTTGGGTGTAAAACGTGTCATATTTGGTGTTGTACAGGATGGTACTGACAGAACAGTGCTGTTAACAGAGCTTCTGTGGCTTTGATCAGGTTCTTCTGTCCATACGAGCTCAGAATCAAACCCACCTGCCCACAGCGAGGATTGTCACCAGGAATCTACAGGTTCAGCTCAGAGGCTTTCACAAGCATGAACGAGCTGTGAACATCAGCATGTCAAATGTGGTTTAACGGACTAAGATGCTTAAAAAACAGCAGCACTGGAACATGCCAAATAAGACGCATTTCAGAACTGATATTAGAATGATTTTATTTATTTACATGATGAATGCTCAGAAGAAACTGATCTAACCCTACACCCGAGCTGATCCGGAGGAAACACCGCACGACTGCAGCAGGAACCAAAGGCTCTTACAGAAATATGAGAAAATAAGATTCCATTACAATATGGTGTGTGTGTGTGTGTGTTTATATTTGGGCTGGATTCATACACTCTTGTAATATGATGGAGGCACTGAACGCAAGAAGCACCTAAGTAAGGCATGAGGAACCGAAGAAAACTCAGGAGAAAATCATGCATTTCACGCGCTGTATACTACACTGACGTTATGAACAGATCAGTCTCTATCAGGTTTAAATAAATATGCAAACTTCAATCAACACAGTGTCGGTAAAGACAATGAGCAAAACCCAAGAGCCCTCCTCGGCATCAGAAGCCCTGCGTAGAGTAGAAATGAGCTTCCTGATCTTTCTCGTCCAGAAATAAAGAGGGGAAGTGACTTGTGCTCTTCTGACAGACACAGTCATGTTAGATGACGGAGACACTGAGAAATAAAGAGCTGACAAAGACGAAGGAGAGACAGTACATGTTTTCATCATAAAGTGTGGGAGATAATGTGCATAAATGGACTGGGTTATAAAAACCAGCGTCCTCCACGCAGGAAAGGTTTGATTGAATCTCTGAACGCCATCAGTTACGTAAAGCTGCCAACCTGTAACACAACATCAACATCAGTCACCAACACGGAGTACGAGTCCATGCATCAGTAAACCACAACAGGTCCCAAACCAGATGAAACGAGCACTCAACGGCTTCAAAGACATGAAATATTAGGCACAACTACTGGGGTGTAATGTGAGTGGTGACTCTGGAGGTGAGAGACGTACCGTCTGGAGAGCTGGTCTTCTTTGTCCTGCGAGCGCACTGACGTCTCTCCCAGTGACGAGGCTCCCGCCGGCAGCTGACTGAGCTGGTCCTCCACCTCCAGGCCGCTCTCCTCCGCGATCTGCAGGATCAGATCATCCACCTGCTCCTGCGGCGTGCTCAGCGTGGTGGCAGAGCTCATGGAGTCCTCCATCACCTGCACACACCAGCAGCTCTCAGAGACCACGGCCTGGGCTAAAATGCTCATGAGAAATAGGATCCAAAGGATCTCCGCACTCACCGAGGTATGAACGTCTAGATTCTGAACCTGGCTCTCGAACTTGTCCATGACAGCCGACACTTTCTGCAGGTCCATGGAATTCAGAGCCTTATCCAGAGCTTCAGATTGCTGAAGTAGATTCATCAGCTTCAAAAGGTCCTCAAGTTAAGCTGTTAAATGAAGGGTAGGTGCTTTCGGACAGGATAGCAATAGCAAGCTAGCTTTGAAAGCGTAAGATCCCACCCTCCCAGCATAATCTCTCTCCAAAGCCACACCTCCTCCAAAACACCGGCAGAGCAGAGAAAGGCAGGTAGAACAGCCTATCGTAGCTCTCGGACCGAGGAATATGATTGGACAAACATTTTATGGTCCTACGCCTTCCACAGACAACAGAAATACATTTAGAGCACTTAATTTAGTTGTAAATGTGACCCTGGACCACAAAACCAGTCATATGGTTCCTTTTTTTAAATTGAGAAATAAGTTTTCCATTGATGTATGGTTTGTTATGATAGGACAATATTTGGCCGAGATACAACTATTTGAAAATCTGGAATCTGAGGGTGCAAAAAAATCTAAATATTGAGAAAATCATCTTTAAAGTTGTCCAAATGAAGTTCTTAGCAATGCATATTACTAATCAAAAATTAAGTTTTGATATATTTACGGTAGGAAATTTACAAAATATCTTCATGGAACATGATCTTTACTTAATATCCTAATGATTTTTGGCATAAAAGCACAACCCTGTGACTTTACCCATAAGCACTCGAGGTGAAGATAACTGACACGCCCCTGTTTGAGGTTTTAAAGGCAGGGTAGGTGATTTGGTTCAAAAACATTTTCTGTTATGCTGGCTGAAAGTCTCTTCACAGACAAAGCTGACATCACTATCACAACACACCCTGAAGCAGTGACGTCTCACATCTGCTGCTCTACCTTTTTTACTTTGGCTTGCTCGGCTTTGGAGTCTTTCTCTGCCTTTTTGGCCAGTCGCTCCAGCTGCTTCGCCGTGAACTGGTGAAAAAGACAAGATTCAAAGATCAGAGGAGACTGCCATCATTAGTGCATCCATAGTGAGGGAAAGACAGAAATATATAGTCACCTTAAGCTGGAAGAGTGTGTCTGTGTGAGAGAAACACACCAACAATCAATCAATCATTCAGCTCACGTGATCAGAACTAGTGAAAGGCCTCGAGCCTTACAGGTTACATGTTTCTAGTTACACAGCAGCACTGAGAGTTAATACTGATAACAAGAATAGACTAATTCAACTACACCAGTATGACACAGAGCCTGGCAACAATCACACGTTAACGTGTGTGATGATGACACAGCATATCAGTTCATATTTATGAATTTCATGATTCCTTACAGAAAATCTGATCAGATGACATTCCTAAATGGAGTGTATAACAGACATCGAGCGAGAGTTTTCCTACCGTCCATGTTAATGTTCACTGCGGTTTTATAAGGTCTGATGGTTTAATTCGATGTTTTTCCGCTCGATTCGTTTGTTTATGTGTCTCCGCTCGGGCGTCTCTCTCTCTTCCGGGTTCAGCTGCTCACCGGCGTCATCGTGACGTCACGTGCCGCTTCTTCTTCGGGCTTCATCGGCGGCTTGAGCTCCGGATGTGTCACTAGCGCCTCCTCTGGAGCGAACGGTGCGAGTATCTATCACTTTTTGTCCACTCCTAGCACATTTAAGTATATTCTTTACTAATTTTCCTTTCATTCATAATCTTTACATTTCTTTCATCAAGTCCTTTCTCTCTGCTTCATATTTTCTGCATTTAACTAGTAGCTACATGATACCTGACAATATAGTCACAAAAGTCATTCTGATGCTTTCCTATAATGTGAAGTGTACTGTTCAGATTGCTGTGTCCCATTCTCAGCCTAGTCTCTTCTTTTCTGTGAAGCATACAGTAGGATACTTGTATCGCACTCAGTGAGAGAGAGCGTGCAGGGAACAGTCCGCGAGGCGGCGCTAATGAGCGAGCCCGAGCTCGAGCCGCCCGCAGCGGCAGAGAAGAAGAAGAGGCGCTGCAGCGCAAGAAGGGCACAGCGATGGCGGCGTCCATCAGACTCGGGCGGAGGGCCGTTTTCTTTGCTCTGAGAGCCATAAAACCCTATAAGCTGACAGTTCAAAACAGACTAATAATTCAGAATAAACGCCAGTGGACCGCAGGCTGGACCGGAAGCGGCTTCAGACACTTGTTTCAGTCGCCGTCAGTATGTGGTGAGTGTTTTTCTGGCAGGTCAGCAGAAGGGCAAGACTCATATTTATTTATTATAGCACAGTTTACATCATAACAGCACTGTGTGCAGACGAGTGTATTTGCTCTACACTAAAGCGCTGGTACAATGGTGGGATCCAATGGTAACGGTGGTACTGCATGATTTCCATATTCATAACATTACAACTGATTGTGATAGTCTAAGAAAGCATGATTATAGTTATGATTCTGACAGTTATGATGGCTTTCGTTGATTGTTGTGTGCTGCTGATTTCATTAGATTACTGAGTAGTTGTTCTTTTGCAAAGCACTGAACACACACACTCACACACACTCACTCACTCGCACACACACACCCTCACTCTCACACACACACGCGCTCACACATGCACACACACACTCACACGCACGCTCACACTCACACTCACACACACTCACACGCACGCTCACACACACACACACACAGACACAGACAGAGTGAGGACAGGACACATAAAACATTTGTCATACAGCATATTTGTATCTAGACTCATTCCAGTCATCATTGATCATGTCGTCACTCAGGTTAGTATCAGATGATTGTGACATTGATCAATATTTGTTTTATTGTGTAATTGTTCTCTGCTGTCATATTTATATTTATTTAGGATTTAATTTGTTTAAGTGCTATTTTTCATGATTAAATCGATCAAATGCAACCTTAAAACGTTGAGTCTGGAACAGTTTAAATGGACACAACATTTGGGGCACAAATGAATCAGAACTTGCTTGGGACTGTCTCTTTCCGTGTTGATCCAAATTGTGCTGATTTGCATGTCACCAATGTCATATAACTGACTAACATGCATGAAAATCATTCTTTATGCAGTTGTGTGTCATAAACACATTCCCAGTCAGACTACACCTCAGTAAAAAAAGTAATATATTTCAATTACATTTATTTCATACTAAATATAGTTCAAATCTAATAACATATCACTTGAGACTTACTGATCTAAAAATTATAATGTAATGTTATTTGGAGTACTACTTGTGCACAATGCACATTTCTTAATATTAAGCCTAAAATGTGTTTTAATGTCACTATTGATGAGGATTGTATGATCTTTGAATAATATTGGTCTTTAAATACTAGATATTGAAAGTGTACCTGAAATATACTTGCAATAGTTCCACTTTAGCACAATCAAATAAACCTCATATCTTTAGTTGGACTTCAGCACTACTTCTGCACATTAAGGACAAAATTAGTTTTTCCAATTCAGCAGACTTTAAGTTCTTTATTATACCACAAGTACAATTGCAGGGTTTTTTATTAAGTACATATGTAAATGTATTTTCACTATGGCATCCTCCATGTTAGCATTGTCCCTTGACCAGTATGTTTTATTTAATTTTTTTAATTTGTTTGTTTTGCCGTCTGCCCAGGACTGTGACAGAAGAAACACTGTACTGACCAATCAGCATCCAGAATCAGCACTGTCCATTTTTAGCATTTGTGTGTATATGTATGTTTTTTTATGCGATCCTCCAGAATGCCACACACCTCCTGTCCATGCGTCTGGATTCGATGCATGTGTCTGATGTAGTTTGTGTGTCCTGCAGGGGTCGCTCCTCTGGAGCTGCAGATGCCAGCGCTCTCGCCCACCATGGAGGAGGGAAACATTGTTAAATGGCTGAAGAAAGAAGGTTAGTCATTTCTCGCAAATACATCGATGAGAAGGCATGCCAGGATTTCTGCAGAGTTTTTTTAATCAAATTTAACACTTTTTAAGACCAGCACAAATTAACATTAATAATTAGTCGATCTATTTTGGATTTTGGGCTTAAAATGTATAAATAAGCCTGAAATACACAAGGACTCTTATTTTGAAATGTCTACGTTTACTGCTTCCAGCTGAACATTAAAATATATGAGGGAGATAAAGGGCCCATGCAGATGCTCACACTTGTGGTCTTTGCTTTTGACCACTTGTCTACGTTCATGATGTATTTACTGTGTTTGGCTCAAGTGTTCAAGTGCACGAGTGTGTGGACCTTTTCATTACCTGACACTCACTCACTCACTCACTCACTCGCACACACTCACTCACTCACTCGCGCACACACACACACACACTCACACTCACTCACTCATTCAATACTTTGCATTTTAAAATAAACTTCTAAATGTCTGTTCAGTAGTCCCTATAACAGACGACACAATTGAGTAATTGTGGTGCTTCTAATTCAGTGATAAAAAGCAGCTGCAAATGTTGTACAAAATAAACATATTCATCTTTGCACCAAATAGAATGTGTAACACTTTGTTTTACTACCAAATTATATGTAATATCTAATTAGGGCTGGGTATTGTTCAAAAATGTTATATATCAATACCAATACCAATACATTACACATTACCTCAAAAAACGCTCTCAAGTGGCAAAGATCGCAAGTGTGAGTATTAGGACGAGCCAAAAACATGCACTCCTACAGCAGTGTACAACATTTGCAGCTGCTTTTTATCACTGAATTAGAAGCAGCACAATTACTAAATTGCACATAGGGGGTGATTTCGGACACAGGGCAGGATAGGGGTTATGTGCAACAGACTTCCGTATTCTGTTATCCGGGTCTCGTCGCTTCCGGTTCAAGCGCTTTGCATATGCTTCGTTAAATATGAAGCAGTTTTACTCAAGATGCCTTCAAAGATTATCATAACCAGTGTCCATCACATATGCAGACTGATATCTAAAAGTTTTTTATTTTTATTCTTTTCACTAACATTTAGATATAACAGTTAAATAAAACGTCAACAATAAAAACAGCTAGCTAGTTTAACTGATCATCTTAAAAGTCCATACATAGCGCTGTTATTTATTACGGCTGTTAGCACGTTCTCCGACAAGCGGAAGCGATGAGACCTGTTTTCCGGGTTTGGTCAGGTGACGCTCGGCATACTCTATTAAGAACCGCTGGTCTAGAGACATCAGCTGCTGTTACCAGGTGCATACAAACTGATCTCTGCAAGGGGAAAAACAGCACTAGTTAAAAAAGGTTACAAAAGGAACATTTAAAAATCATATGTACTTGAAGGTACCAAAATAAAAATATAAAATTTAAAAATGTTTACAAAGTGTAATCTTCTTACAAAGACTGGTCAGTGGTGTAACTGTTGGATAAATGTGTACAGAGAGTCTGCAGGAGCTGAAAAATACATAATATGAGCAAAATAACTCTTAACAGCTCTAATGCTGGTCTGACTGAATGTGTGTGTGCGTGCGTGTGCGTGTCTGTCTGCGTGTGTGTGTGTCTGTGTGTCTGTGTCTGTGTCTGTGTGTGTGTGTGTGTGTGTCTGTGTCTGTGTGTGTGTGTGTGTGTGTCTGTGTCTGTGTGTGTGTGTGTGTGTGT